AAACCCAAATTCAGAGTTGTCTAGGGAATTTGCTTTGGTGGCTTACGGTGTCGGCTCCCGGTTCAGGGTTTAGGGTAACCTTTGGAGCTAAATTTAAACCCTATAAATCCCTAAACGCCTGAAATCCCACCCTTAGGCTCCTAGGAGGGTCTTGGGCTTTCTGGGGGGGCGTGGGTTTGGCATCTCACCACAAGGGCCCAGGAGCCTTACGGTGCCTTCTAAACCCCTAAACCCTAAACCCTAAACCCAAAACCCTAAACCCTAAACCCTAAACCCTAAACCCTAAACCCTAAACCCCAACCCCTAAACCCTAAACCCCTAAATGAATATATCCTAGGGCTGGAGGTGTCGGATCCCCAAATCCTCGCGGCTGTGGTTACTATATCAGGCTGCCACGAGGGTACTTTAAGCGTATTGTCAGGGTGGGCACAAAAAGGATAAAATAACAATACATAAGGCTACTGCATGGGTATCACAAAAACTGCTGGGAGGGTATCAAGGACGCACAAACTGCCATATAAGGTGTCTATATAATGTGGGTACTGGGCACCTTCACCCTTCTCCGAAGGATCCCACTCCGAGATTAGAAAGGCCAAGCGTCTGTGCTCGAGCTTCGTTGCCGATCACGGATTGAAGATCACGGACGATGTCCTTACACTTGCCAGCTACATTGAACAAATATTGGTGATAACAACGCTAAAAGAAATTAAGTCTATATGCCATCAATGTGAACCAAAAGACAACTGCTATAGTAACCGGATGGTCAGTGCTGGCATTCCCTACGGTTTGGTTGTGGGGCATGAGGACACTGGGCCCGAAGCCCTACTTACCAAAAGAGTCAGGGTTTAGGGTTTAGGGCTTAGGGTTTAGGGTTTAGGGCTTAGGGTTTAGGGTTTAGGGTTTAGGGCTTAGGGTTTAGGGTTTAGGGTTTAAGGTTTAGGTCAGTGTACCTGTATAGCAAACATGTACATGTCTTGGCCTGGAAGCAGCCATGGATTGACGCTTTTAAGGCCAACTTCCATAAGTTTTGGGCACATGCTTGGAGGACCATGGGACTTAGTAAGTAAGGTTATAAGTCCCCTTTTTGGGGTTACTATAAGTACTTCTAAAAAAAATTAAGTTAGCTTCCTAAACCCTAAACCCCTAAACCCTAAACCCTAAACCCGGTTAAGGGTGCAAACGCCAGACCCCCAAAACCTGAAACTCCCACACCCTATCAGCCCTGAGCCCAAAACCATACACCCAAAGCCTTAAACGCTATGATATTCGGGTTTAGGGTTTAGGGTTTAGGCAAAACCCTAAAGCCCTAAACCCTAAACCCCAAGCCCGGAGCCCTGCATCCAAAGGCTCTAAGACTCTGAGGATTCAAGGCTTCTGGGCTATTCTGAGGCTGACACAAGCAAAATCCCATAATATAGGGGCCTTAGTAATTAGAATAGGGTTTTGGGGCCCATTATTATACTATAACTATAATAAAGGAGCCCCCAAAATAGTATTGGTAATTATTAAAGCTCCTACATTAACCGAACAACTTGAACCTCAAACCACTCTACAACCTGGACCCATACGACCCTGCAACCGGAACCCATAAACCCCTAAACTCCAAACCCTAATGATAAGGCAAACCACCCTTCCTTTCGTCCCCTTTCCAATCTAAAACTCCAGAGACAAAGTGTCCAGGAGCCCGCCCAGAAAGCCCAACATCGGGGCTTAATGTTCTGGTTGGAGCTATATTCCGTAACTCTCTTCTTCAACAACCAGGCCCGAAAAAGTTCAAACTTTTTAGGATAGACCTAATATATAAAGCCGAAAAGTTTAAAGTTCTCCCATTGGCTATCTAAGTTAATTGGGGTAGTCTACCTAAAAGTCAAAACACTTGTAATCGTTTCTGTTGACACCTCTTTTCCTTTGAGGTTTAGGATTTAGGGCCTTGGGCAATGGGCTCGAGAGCTGACCCTAAACCCCAAACCTCTATTCCCTGGGCTACAGAACAGATGCTCGGTCTTCTCGTTGATATCGATTAATCTCCGCCGCACCTGAAAGTAGAGCACACAAAAAATCAGGACCTCCAAAGCACAAATGGCACCTACTTTGGGCCTGTTAGGGACAGGCTCCCAACATCAAGGCCCTCAACGACACAGGGGTAATCAGAGACCCTTACATCCTTATAAAGCCTTAATTTTTAATAGCACCCCCTATACCACATCTACAAGCCCCCTACAATCTGAGAAGCAACGTAAATAGATATGTGTGTGAAACAAAACAATTGTTGGCCCCGCATTAGTCTTGAGACCTAAACCCTAAACTAGGTAGTATCATTTGGGGTACCCCTTAAAGGGTATTTCTTCTGAACCCTACTTTTGGCTCTCTTAAAGGGGACCTTATTGAGAGTGTCGATATCCTCAAGGGTCCCCCTAATCCTAGCTTCCATAAACCCCGAAACCGTAGCAAGTCTCCGGGAAGGGGTGCGGACCGACGGCGCTCCCGATGATGTAGTGCCTGGGTTCGTTCAGAGTTTCGGTGTTGTTAAGGGTTTAGGGTTTAGGGTCTAGGGTCTAGGGTTTAGGGTTCAGAGTTTGGGTGATGTTAACTTTAAACCCTAAACCTTATCATTAAGCTCTAATCCACAAAAGCATCCATCCAAAACCCTGCCAGAGCATGACGGGCGACATGGCCCCCAACTCTACAGCAAAAACCTATGTATGTCATTGATATTCATTAGACCTGCGGTGTGTATCCCCATGGATCTAAGTACATACTTCCTGGATACTCAAGCCCCACAAACTACCCTAGAGTACACTTCGGCAGGACGAGTTTGTCGCACTCGCAATTTCTATGTATGTATACATAGAGCCTAAACCCTAAACCCTAAACCCTAAACCCGCCCCGCCCATTTCCCCCTCTATGAGACTCCTGGAAGAACTACTGTAGGTAGGGGCCTTAATAATTGGAATAGTGTTTTGGGGGTTTAGGGTTTAGGGTTTAGGGTTTATGCTATAACCATAATAAGGAACTCCCCCCTAACAAAAATGGTATAGGTATTGGGGGTAGGCTATACTCGAACTATCATACGGAATCCCCCGAAAATAGTAAACCCTAAACCCTAAACCCTCTTTAGGCCCCAAAAAACGAACCCCAACCCTAAACCCTAAACCCTAAACCCCTCTTGAGGCCCCTTCTTTTAAGTTCTTAGGGGCTGCGGAGTTTCGAGGCTAGGGCTGACTCTAATCTTGAAACCTCAAAAGGGGTTTAGGGTTTAGGGTTTAGGGTTTAGGGCTTAGGGGAAGTCCTTCACCCAAAGGGTCTTGGGTTTATAGCAGAAGCCAGAAAGTTGGAAGATCAATATCCTCATGCCCCTAACATAGTATAGGGGATTCTAGCACCAATCCTAAACCCACGTTCCAGCTTTCTGGGGTTCACTGCGGGTTTAGAGTCTTATGTACCTATATAGGAGAGTGGCTAGGGTTTCTATAGTAGGCATTACCATTATGATTTTTGGAAGTAGCCATTCTGATTTTGGGAAGTAGCCCCCATAACAGTACCTAGGACCCTTTCCCTTGGCATAATCTGGTCTTTGGGACCAAAAGCCTTAAACGGTTTGGGTAAGGAAGCAAGTCACGTCGTCCGGATGTTGGTGACCCAGTCGCGCAGTGCCTGCAGGACCAGCTGGCAGGGAACCCAAAAAATCTCTGTTCAGAGTTTAGGGTTCAGGTTTTAGGGGTTTGGGGTTCAGGGATTCAGAGTTTAGGGTTTAGGGTTCAGGGGTTCAGGGTTTCGGGCTTAGGAGTTTAGGGATCAGGGTTTAGGAGTTTAGGGTTTCGGGTTTAGGGGTTTAGGGGTTTCGGGTTTGGGGTTTAGGGGTTTTGGGTTCAGGGTTTAGGACTTTCGGGTTCAGGGTTTAGGGATTTTGGGTTCAGGGTTTAGGGTTTCGGGTTTAGGGGTTTAGGGTTCAGGGTTTAGGGGTTCACGGTTCAGGGTTTAGGGGTTTAGGGTTCAGGGTTTAGGGTTTAGGGTTTCGGGTTTAAGGGTTAGGTCTTCAGGGGTTTGGGGTTTAGGGTTCAGGGTCTAAGGGCTTAGGGTTCAGGGTTTAGGAGTTCAGAGTTTAGGGTTCAGGGTTTGGGGGTTTAGGGTTCAGGGTTTAGAGGTTTAGGGTTTCTGGTTTAGGGGTTTACAGTTTCGGGTTTAGGAGTTTAGGGTTCAGGGGTTTAGGGTTTCGGGTTCAGAGTTTAGGGGTTTCGGGTTTCGGAAATCTACGGGCCAGAGTGCCTAAACGAGGTGATCCCAAAACCAACCTACCAGCTTAAGGGCTCCATCCACCCTGCACTTCTGTGGGATAGGCACGGATAGGAACCTACTATAGGGGCCTTAATGATTAGAATAGGGTTTTGGGGCCCGTTCTACTATAATGATGATAAGGAACCCCCAAATAGTATAGGCAATTATTAAGGCCCCGATATTACTGTTGTTCGGCTTCCACCCTATCATGATTGGATAGTATACTTGCAGGTTCGAGGTACATACCACCCAGAAACTGCAACTTAGAACCCCCGTACAAGTCCCGTATGTCAAGTGCGTACTGGTGGGTCATACTTGGGCTATAGCTACGGATTTTCTTTGGGTTGTATGTCAACCCACCCTAAAGCCTAAACCCTAAACCCCTAAACCCTAAACCCTAAACCCTAAAGTTACTGCGTGGCATGCTCTTACAGACCACAGCAGCCTAGAGGTCAGAAGATTAAAACAAAAAAGCACATCACGCGGGAGAAGCTTACGGCTCTCTTTCAAGGGCCCGAAGTAGACTTGTAGGTTTAGGAGGGTTAGGGTTTAGGGTTTAGGGTTTAGGGTTTAGGGTTTAGGGTTTTAGGGTTCTTTTTTACGAATTCTCTACGAAGTCCTTCGAACAGGAAGGTTTGTTGGGATCCAGGTAGGTCTAGGGCTGGCTATCAAAAAGAAGCTGCCAGCTCTTCTCCCAAGTACGATTGGATTGCGAGGATCTGGGTTTAGGGTTTAGGGTTTAGGGTTTAGGGTTTAGGGAGTGAGGTCCATGAAAAGTGTTGCTGCCTCTGCTCTCTATCTGGGGTGTAGGGGCCCCTATATGAAAAGTTAGAAGAGTGTGTCTTAGGTACATTGCAGTAGAACTTACTATAAACAAGGGCTAGTCGGAATTGTTACCAGAAATCTATGGAATATACTAAGTATAACCCCAGTGAGCGCTGACCCTAAACCCTAAACCACTAATCTAGGGGAGCTATTAATCATTAGAATATGGTTCTGGGCTCCTTTAT